GATTAAACAATTTCATGAAAAAATTTCATAAGATTAAACAATGAAATCGACGGATGAAGATGGTTTGCAAGGTTTACACAAATGAAGGCGGTTTTCATTTGATCACTCCTCTCTTTCTCTCTCTCTCTATATATATATATATATACTCTATCCGGCTATTGAACCTGGTTTCCCTCTGCATATGGTAATAGAGAGTTAGACAGCTTAGAGAGCTCCTCAAAGGGCTAGTTCTCACTCACAACAAGCTATACATCTTGAGGAAGAAATAGATTTAGACAGAAATATAGACTTATACAATCAACATCAACTAGATATTCTAAACCCAAGAATATTATATCAAACAGGAGTTTTAAACATAAATACAGTATTAATTCGTAGTAGTAGAGAAGAAAGTCTAAGAATACTAGACAAAACAGTAACTGTAGAATTATTTTCGCCAGAGACAATACAAAAAATTAAACAAACGGGAAAACATTTTGCACACATAGGACTAGTAGTTATAGGAGTTAAAGCCTTAGGAAGAAAAAATCTTGGAACAAAATTATTAGCTTTATTATTGGATAAAAGCTGGAAAACAGATATTAAAAAAACAATAATTTCTGGAATGGAAGTTGATCTTAGTCAAAATACAGCACTATTTTACTGCACACCTGGAATTTTAAAATTTTTATTAATGATTTACAAAAAATAAAAATAGCACTACAAACAAAAGAATATGATAATTATGAAGAAGATAATTTAGTAATAAGTATAGGCGTATTAGGAAAACCAAGTAACAGATCAGGTATGAAGTATAAAGTAAATATTGAAGGAATTGTAAATACCATAGCATCAAAATCTATACACATGATAAACCCAGAAAAAATAGATCCTGAAGAATTGGCAGGATTAGAATGGAAATTAGATGATTTAAAAGAACAAGAAAATGAAATCCTAACGTCTCATAATTCTATTTACAAAACTATCTGAAGTTATAATATCTTGTACATTACTTGTAGAATTTCTACCTTCCTGTAGTGTTCTACTTCTTCCTATAAAATTCYTATTTAGATTATTCATTGTCGAGGTAACCAATGTTTATAAGGTGTTACTTTGTTTTTTGGTTTTTCTATTTTATCGTCACTAATTCTCGTAATTATTTTTTCTAAATCTTCTTCTTTTATTATGTCTTGTTGTAATTTTGTTTTATTTAATAGTYCTCTTTTAATATCTTTTAATTYGTTTATAATTTGATTATTTTGAGTTTTAATATAATCTAAATTTTCTGTAAATTTATTAAWTGTTTCTGTTCGTTTTTCTATAAAATTATATATTCTGTTTAAATTTTGTTTATTTCTTTCTAATTCTTGTTCTAAATTTATTCCTAGATTTATAATTAAATCTGTTAAACTGTTTACGTGTGGATTATCAGAGTGTAAAAGATGTCTATGTGTTTTAGGACAAAGCAAACTACAATTATCTATTAAAGTATTATTACTAGTTTTTTCACTAAACTCAAGATTTAAGAAATCGAGCTTTTTTGAATTTGGAGAACCTATGATTTCGAGGGGTTTTTATCAGAATTTAAAGGGTTCTAGCTCTCTAAACTTAGTTCATTCTTCATCCTTCAATTATCATAAGATTTTCATATATCCCTTTTATAACTATAATATTAACATGACAAATATAAATAATTCACATACATCAAGATTTAAACTATCTTCAACCCAAAAAATTTCACTATATCCTCCTTATTATTATCAAAACATTTATTAATCCCTTGATTCGCACCTAAGCGGGTTCTCGATAACAACGATGGACTTAATACCACAAAAAAATGTTATATATAAAGATATAGATGGCACACATAGCCTAACATTTATGAAATATACAAAAAATATATCAAAAATTGAAAACGACAATGATACAAATATAGATTGTAATTTTATGAATATTGAATATGATACGGAACCTATATATGATACAGACACAGAAAATAATGAAGATGGTAAAACACTAATAGACTTTGGATTTAATAAATTCGAAGAAGAAGAATGCGATTACAGTTTAATAGAATATTTAGAAGAAACTGAAGATACAACCACAAGCTTTAAAACAGAAGAAGTTTATAAAACATTAGAACAAATAATTAATAGAAAATTTACAGAGYTAAATAYAYAAGAAGAAGTAGATGATATGATAATAGAATGTATGACAAATTTAGGAATGACATATGAAGAAAGTTATAATAAACTACAAGAATATTATAATTTACCATTAGTAGAAAACATACTACAAGGTAAAACTATAATAACAGATTTTTACAAACAAGAACAGACATTTATGGATACTTATATGCCTAATTAACATAAAAGAATAAAATGGGAGGAACCATGAACATCAATACAAGAAGGGATAGGAAGAGAAAAATGGGCAAAACCTTCTATCGAATATCAACAGGAATCAACCTTTATAGGAAAAGGAAAAAGATTACCTATAGGAAATACATATAGTAGTAGTATGTTATTGTTAGAACAACAAAAGCCCCAGTTATGGATGGATGAAATTTTAGCATGGGAACAAACAATAGTACGAATGTGGGAAACTAATAAAAAAGACAGTATGGATATGTTTTCTGGGCTTTTTTA